CAGATCTGTATTACAATATGGTGCCTTTAGCATACAATAACACTGTATTATTACAGTATTACAACTCAACATAATTTTACAACTTAAATGTCCTATAATGGCTTCCTACTGCACTCAGCATTAAATCTAAACCTGCAACCCTCTGAACCAAAATTCTAAATTCTTGCTATTCCTCTGCCTGAGAAATTATTTGTCCAAAAGCTTAATTAGAGTGAACCGATTTTTAACAAGTCTGTTCATTGACATATACAGGTAGAATGTGAAGTATGTTAATATCCAGTCTTCTATATTCTGTCTAGCAATGAGGTAACTTGAGATAATATTAAATCATTCACCTGATTCTCAGTCTTCTAAATGTAGACTTATGCATCAAATGTTTTGAAATCAGTATCATTACATGTATCAGAGTCTTCTAGAGATTGGCCCTTTACCATCTTTCTATATTCAATTTCCACATCATATATTAAAACACATTGTTGATAAGAGGAACTCAACAATTACACATGGAATGAAAAAAAATTCTGAATACAAATAGGTGGTAATTCCAAGGAACTGATTACAAAATCATTATCTTCAGAGAAGGAAAGACTTCACAGTGAGTGGAGAGGATTTTCTTTTCCAGTTAACATTTATCGACAGTGTGTGTCAGGAATTAGGAAAGAATTGAGTGCTAATGAAGGATTTTATTGTTATTTATCATTTAATAGGCTTGGAATAAGGAAGAACATTCAAGCAGGAGGTTCTGCATAAACAAAGGCCTAAAAGAATGAAAATACAAAAAAAAAAAAAAAGGTGAGGAACTACTAGATGGCCAGAAAATAAGGTAAATGAAAAGGAGTAGTAGTAAATAAAATTACAGGAGTGCATCTGGATTACATTTTGTGGGGAAAGGTTATGTATAATGTGCATCCAACAAATACACAGCAAGAAATTACCTGAGAATCAAATATATCATGACCTCATACATGCACACACAGATATAAAATAAAAATTAAACTTCTCCAAAGTATACTAATCACTTTTTGAGATGAATGTTGGTAATTTCCTTAAATTTTTCAAAAATTGTGTGAAAAGGCTACTAGCAATGAACAATTTGGTTTTTTTTTTAAGAAATTAATAAGGTATCATTGGCCTATTCCAAAAAGACTGACACTGGTGATGGGAAATTAATGAAGGTGTTCAAAGAATACTAATAATGCCATACTTTAGTGTAGATCTTGCTGAAGATAGAGGAGATATTGAAAACAGCAAAGTAATTCAACAGATGGAGAAGGATACAACTATGTAAATGTCCAAACTAATCATAATAATGAATGCCTGAAATAGGGCAGTGTGGAGGTGGCTTTGAGTAGGATGGTGAAGCCAGAGATAGCAGGATTTGGTAAGAGGTCGGAGATGAGTTATAAGAGTAAAAGAGGAGTCAACACTGACTTTCAGGTATAAATCTGAGGTACCTTGATAATTTTTAATTTTTTTTTAAAGATTTATTTATTTTATTGGAAAGTCAGATATACAGAGAGGAGAAAAGACAGAGAGAAAGATCTTCCGTCGGATGATTCACTCCCCAAGTGACTGCAATGGTTGATGCTATGCCAATCCGAAGCCAGGAGCCAGGAACTTCTGGGTATCCCACACGGGTGCAGGGTCCCAAGGCTTTGGGCTGTCCTCGACTGCTTTCCCAGGCCACAAGCAGGGAGCTGGATGGGAAGTGGAGCTGCTGGGATTAGAACTGGAGCCCATATGGGATCCTGGTGCGTTCAAGGTGAGGACTTTAGCCACTAGGCCACGCCGCTGGGCCTGAGGTACCTTGATATTAAACCAGAAGTTTAGGGGACAAGCTCAACTGTAGTGGGGAAAGAAAACAATTGACTTCCCCAACTGAGTTGTATCTGCAGAGCATCTAGGTAGACAAACTCCACAGGTTGTGCAAAGTATATGGCTAAGCCTTTGCAAGGAGTAAAATTAGAGACTTGGGAGATAATATTTGAAAATGTAAGATACAAATATTTATCCAGGAAAATGCAAAGAGACAGAAAAAAAAGGACTTACAGTAGAATATTGCAGCTGGAACAATCTATTTAATATCATATTATCTACTTTCAAAATGTTCTTGTTTTCTTTTTTAAGGAAGAGAAGATCATTTTACATGGATATGATTTACATTGGGACATAAGTGCAGTATGTGCATATGGCTGGCATGCGCATGTTAAGAAAATATTGGAATGTCCATAGGGAGCTTAAAAAGTATTCTGGTTCACAGTATAATAGCAGCATTCATTTTCTCAGCCTCATTACTATGCCCATGCTTTCTCTCTTTCCTATCTCCCTTCTTCTTATGCCTTTTGCTCTATCGACTTGCTTTCTGACCATGATTTGAAAGCCCAAAGAATGCATAAGCAAAATCCACCAGTGTGGGATTTGCAAGCTGAGGTCTGCAGCATGGTTTTGGAGTTGGTTTGGAGGAAAAACAGTGCTAAATATGTAGTCACAGGAAGGAGCAGCAATGGTCTGTGCTGACAGATACATTCCTGAAGCTTTTGTCACTACAAATTCCATCACCGTCATGTGTGAGTGGTGAGCGTAAATGAGTCTATTCTGGACCTGTGTCTGGGTATGTGTAAGGCTCTTAGCTTGACCTCATTCCACAGTTAGATGATAATACGTTAATACTATTGCTTTACCTTGGAAAATATTACTTTGTAACAGAAACTGCTTTGCTCATAATTTAAGGCGTTTAGAATAACAATAATTACAATTTAGAGCAGTTGAAAACTGTGAACAATGGTGAATCAGACTGTATTTGTAAAGGCAATTAATGGCAAAGAAATATATGTGCCATCTGAATAGTAGGGTATACTTTTGCTTTTTAAAAATTTTATTCATGTATGTGAAAGGCAGAGATAAAGAAAGTCTTCCCATCTGCTCGTTCACTCCCCCAAATGCCCACAGTGATTGGGACTGTGTTTGGCTTGGGTGTCTCCCAAACGCAAGGCAGGAGCCCATCACTGCTGCCACTCAGGGTCTGTGTTATTCAGAAGCTGACACCAAGCCAGAACTGGGGAAAAAAAAATAGAAACTAAGATTTATTTCTAGAATGAATATTCACCACTCATTCCTTCTTTCTTAGCTGTGTAATGAGGAACAGTTTGCCTAAGCTCTCTGAGCCTCAGTGTTGCTATCTGTAAAAATACAGGTAACAATTACTACCACAGATTTTCACTGGGAGAAGTAAATATCAAATTATCCAAGATGGCTCAGTAACTAAATCCTCACCTTGCATGTGCCAGGATCCCATATGGGTGCAGCCCTGCTTCCCATCCAGCTCCCTGCTTGTGGCCTGGGAAAGCAATCGAGGACGGCCCAAAGCCTTGGGACCCTGCACCTGCGTGGGAGATCCAGAAGAAGCTCTTGGCTCCGGATCAGCTCAGCTCCAGCATTTGTGACCATTTGGGGAATGAACCAGCAGATGAAAGATTTTTCTGTATCTTTTTCTCTGTAAAATCTGATCTGGCTTTCCAATAAAAGTAAATAAATATTTAAAATATGTAAATAAATAATCTAAGAGCTTTGAAATTAGTTTGTGCTCAACAAGCCCAATGTGAGTAAAGAACTAGGTTTGCAAAGCTGAGTCATTTCACTCAGTCCTGATATTTTGCAGAAAAAAATCATTTAACGTATACCCTTCCTTCTCAGCCCTTCCAAGGGACGTGGTGGGAAATCAAGACAGATTGACTGGGATCCTGTCAAATGTAGCCTTTTCAAGCTGGCTGCCTATGAACAAGTCATCAAACTTCTTTGCATCATCACTTTTCAGTTGCAAAGGAAGAGTAAGGAAGTTCAGAGACTTCTTGATGAAATGAGTGCAACAAAGTCAAAACACCAGGCTTCCAAAAAACACAAGGTGCTTTGCCACCAGCAACAGGTACAAGTCTCCCACAGGCACCCTAAGGGTTAAATCTCAGCCTGACAATCTTGTTTCTTCAAGGCACACAGATGATACTCTCCACACTTTGTCCCCAGATTCTTGGAAAACACTCTATGGAGACAGCGTAAGGCAAGACACTCCAAGAATGAGTGGGAGCTGGACCACGACTGAGGCAGAAAAGGGAAGGTGGAGAAAGGCCTAGTGCTGGCCCACGCAGTCAGCTCTGAAGGGGCTATTGTGTTCTGAGCAAGGACATCATCACCGCCTAGCGTGAGCAAAAAGGATGCCGACAACTCCCACTTTTGTCACTTCCAGTGCTTCAGCGTAGCTGTTGGGATATCATCATCAGCCCGACAACCGCATCCTTAGTCCCCAAAGCTCCCAACCGCCATGTGAGCTCAGGATTGGATGAAAGCGGTGAGTGAATGAAAGGAAAACGTGAGCGCGCCTTCCTTCTAGCACCCGCTGGCCAGGATTCCTCCACAAGAACCCCAGCGCCGCTGCCCCGTAGTCACTGGCAACGGCCACAGCCCCGACGCGCTACGACTTGGCCCTTAGAAAGCTCTGAAGTTGGACGAGAGAATAGGGGTCGAAGAGGTGGGCGGGAACATGTACTCCTAAAGAGCAAGTTGTCAAAGACACCTTGGAGCTGATAAGTACTTCAAAGAAATGTGTCCACGAACACCGATCTTGACCTCCACCTCATTAAGAATAAAGCTGTTTGGGGATCAACGCCTCGTGTCTTCATCTATGCTTTTCAGCCACATCTGTCAAGCAGTCTCTTTCACCTCCGCGGGGTCTCTTCACCTCCTTCCGTCCCCGCCCCTTCTCTCTTTCTTTTTCTCTCCGTCCCTCTCTCTCGCCCCCTCCCTTCTTCTCCTCTCTAGAAATAGACCGTCCACAGACCCCCTCGAATCCTCACGTCACCTGCACTCCGTAGTGAATGGGCCCCTTTGCAGCTCCCCTCTGCAAGTAGCTCAACAATAGATACTTTTCATTGGTAACTCAGCCCTTTTCCCGCAGCGAGGGATGAGAGGGGCGGGGGCAGGGAAGGACGCTGCTATGTACCACTTACCTGATCTCTTTAATGCTTTCCAACTTGCACATAATTTCTTGCTCATCTGCCATGCTTTTCACTCTCAACTTCACGTCCAGAGAAATGTACAAATACACCAGCTAAGGGATACAATAGACACAATGTAACCACCTCCTCCGGGATGAGGGCTCTGAGGCTGTGCGTGATAGGGGCTTGGAGAAGGCCTGGGAGCTGTAGTCCGCAGCTCCACGGCCAGCCAGGCAGCCCGGGGGCTTTCGGGACTACAACTCCCAGAAGGCCAACGGCATACGCCTGTTTCTCTTCCTGCAGCTGCACTTTAAATCAATTTGTCACAGATAATTATGTCAAAGATTCTGAGGAGTATAAGGGAATGGGGATATTCGTCTGGCCCGTAGGCGGAAAAAAAAATAAGGAAAATATTCCTGAAGGCGACTGGCGAGACAAGATGCGTGCCTATTCACACCCTTCTGAGGACCCTCACAGTTATGCACCCCCAGGAGGTTTACCAGAAGCCACTAGTTACTGAACTCCTTGAGGCAGGGAGAGAAATCTTGCGAAGGAATTACTTTATGTGATGTGGAGTGTTTTGTTGTTGGCTAGATAATAGCAGCTTTGCTATTCAAATGGATGTGGGGTGGAGGTGGGGAAGAGGACTGGATGCTACAAAAGCTTAGGGAAATGAGCAGTGGGCGGAGGCTGAGGGGAGAAGGGGACCTCCTTCCTTCCAGGTATGCATCTATCTTACTGTGACTGAGCTCCGAATTTAGTAGTCAATGAAGGAGATATTGAGGGAGGCACTGAATGAGGGGGGAAAAAAACGGAATAAAACCGATTTTTTTTTTTTTTAATTTGAGCAAGGGGGTGGGTGCGGCGGGAGCTGAGACTGAAAAGTAGCCCATTAATTACAGTGAGGTGTCAGGAATGGATCACCTGTAATCCAAGCAAGGAAGATGTAAACAGGTCTCAAAAATGACAGAATTTGCCAGACTATAGAACGGAATGGGTTTTCCAGAACAAAAGGAGACACACAGGAAGAGAAAAAGAAAGAACAAGTGGCCCGGGGTTTCTGAAACACACAGTTCTTATTTGGGGGGTGGAGATAAGAACAACAAATGAGAGATGTTCCTAAAGAGCTCAATTGGAACCGGAATGTGAAATACCTTGAATGTCAGGCTAGAGTTTGGAATTAATCCTACGGGTGTACACTTCTCCCATACACCATGTATTAAGTACTTGTTCTGTGCCAAGTAAAACAATTTTTTTTCAAGCATGGAACTAATGAGATGACTGTCTTAGGGAGGTGAATTATGAAGGAAAGTGAAGAATAATTAGAGGAGATGAGAGTAGATAAGAAATTATTCAGGAAGCACATTCAGGCACAGAGAGCTGAGCTTTGGACAAAAGGACTATGACTCACTTACTCCCAATTAAAGGTAACTCGGAGCTCTCTCTCACTGACTTTGCCTCTCTCTCTCTTTTTTTTCTGATCCTTGGTTTTTTAATCTGAAAAAATAGACATTGCTATGAAAACTTTCTGTGACCATTCCCATGATGGTGCTGAATACAGGACTTGTTATTTTGTGGGAAGAGGCTCCGGGCTCCTGGCTTCGGATTGGGTCAGTTCCGGCTGTTGTGGCCACTTGGGGAGTGAATGATCGGACGGAAGATCTTCCTGTCTCTTTCCTCCTCTCTGTACATCTGCCGTTCCATCTCTTTTCCATCATTCACATCCTATAAAATGCTTACTTCATGCCATGTTCATATGTCTGGTGAGGATCTGCAGGTGGGTATATATTTGCTTAAATTAAGTATGTTAACAAATTAACAGTCTGACTTTCAAAATAATTTGGCAACTATATTTTCCTTATAGCCTCATCAAAATCCTATTTCTCAGATGAAGAAGTTGAGGCCTAGAGAGCCAAAGACTATTCAGAATCACTCAAGTTGGTTGACACATACTGAGGACTTTTCCTGCATTCACCTACTCCTTCCCACATAGAATTTGAAAATCTCTGTCAACTCTGGCCAGATGGTGTACTCAAATATAGAGTACCTTTGGATGGCCAAGCATGCCCTGTGTTTCCAATGCACGGATTTTAGAAAGAGATGGCAATCATTTTAGAAATAAGAGTCCTGAAAGAACCAGAAGTTTTTTTTTTTTTTTTAAAAAAAGGTCTGTGCTACTTGTATCAATTAAGATGTCCAATTTAAAGAAAGGGTAGTAAGCCTCTTAGTTTCATGTGCTTGCCTTAGCAATCCAAGCCAACAAAAATGGGAGGGAAATATTAGAGAGGCAGAGGAGGAAGCAATAACTTTCTGGCCCCTTTTACTGACTGCACCTCCAATCCAGGCTAATGGTTTTCCATAGCAAGTGTTCAGTAGCTCTCAATGGATCCAAACTCTGCAACAGATGAGACAGTGTTTAAGAAATGTGCTGGAGTTCAACCTTGGCGGCTCAGGTGACAGCAGCATTGCGCAGCATGGCACCTTGCTTGTGGAGAGTACCTGAGCCAGGTCTGACCCAATGCCAGGGACTCGGCCTATGAATACCATCACCACTTCATGAGCCAAGTCCTGGCTGTTGAACAGCCAGTGCACCCTTGGGAGCGAGCCTCCACCTGCTGGCCACTCAGCGGTGAGCTCGAGGGTTTTTTGGGTATGAAATTGCTGACTAAAGACATCAATGGATAAGGCCAATGTGAGTGTAGGTGAGGGATGAATCTGGTGTGACTCCCAACGATGAGGTCACCAAACTTGCTGGCAAGCATGGGGACTGAGACATGGCCATTCGGAGAGGAGAGTCAGTATGATTTGTTTGTGTCAGATTGATCCATTAACCTACATGGGAGTCCCGAGATGGGCTGTTAGCATAGAGCATCTCTAACTGCCACCTGCCAGTCCAAACCAAAGCTATGGCTGAGGGCCTGTCTGGTAGGGTTGGATCCCAGTACCTGATTGTAGGAACAGGGGTGAGACACATTAGGAAGGACTCTGACACCAACCAGCACGTGAGAGAACCAGATCCAGAGGTAGATTCTGCGGGAGATAAATGGGCCCAACCTCGTGGAGATACAAGTCCTGCTGGGACTTGGGGTGGAAGAGTTGGGGCGGAAATAGGCTGAGCTAGGAATGACTATGGAACCCACCGACACTCATGGATGTTGGGGCTGATGATAGCATGGGCAGGTCCAGGTTGCAGCACCCGCATGTGTATCCTACCACAAGGTGTAAGGTGGGCTGGGCCGCAATATCCTCCAGCTCATACAAGGGCTTAGATGGAGTGGCAGGCTATGCCAGGGAAGGACCTAGCACCTGCTAGAGCATTTGAGCTCTGGGTTAGAGAGTAGACCAAGTGGGGGAACTGGGGAACCTGGGGAACCTATTGGGGGTCACAGCTCCCTCTGGTGAGCACGTGTTTCAGGCCTGGATGTTGGGCAGCCTGAGCAGGGTAACTCCAACTGTTGGCTAATGTGTGGGTTGGTTATGGAGGGGGGCAACTGGGCAGGGCCAAGCCAACCTTACCTCACCTGAAGGGCACAAACCAGGCTGTAGCACAGATCAAGTTCAGCTAGGCTATCACACATACCAGTTTGCATAAGACTGGTAGGGGAGCAGATGGAGCAGGGTCAGGTTCCAGCACCCACCAGCGAGTGGTGGGATTTGGTTTAGGTTGGGTCAGGACAGGCTACAGCATCCAAATGCTAACATCATGACAGGTGAGGGATTAGGCCAAGCTGGGTCAGAGCAACCACAGCCACATGCAAAATCTATTGCTGAGAACACACCTAGTTGGGGGGCTAAGGGGATGCCCTGGCTGGGTTGTGGTTCCCACTGGTAAGCACAGGGCTGGAACGGGAGCCATGTTCTGGTCTAGATAAGGCTGCAGCATACCTTGACACAAGTAAGAACTGGGGCTTGGTGTCCCAGACTGGGCTAGACCCCAGCACCCATTGGTGCTCCTGAGGACCAGGGTAGGTGTAGGACAGGCTAGGCTGGGTTTTTGCCCCTGACGAGCAGGGTATAAGCTGTGTCTGCTTGTGGACCAGGCTAGACTGGGCTGTAATACCCAACAATAACAACCAGAATGGGTTGAAAGCTCGTCAGGAAAGGCCATTGTTCCTTCTAGGACAGGAAGTGGACTGAATAGGGCTGGCCAATGGACTCACCTGCGTGTGTGAGATCTGGCATTGGGAATGGTTTTGATGGAGGAGCCTGGGAAACTCCTCTGTTGGGACACAGTGCATGCAGGCGAACGCAAGAACCACGATAGGGAGCAGCCCAGACTAAGCCAGGGAATACATTTGGCACAGGTCGGAGGCGAACCAGGCAAAGCCAGTTCACATCACACGTTGGTGAGTCCGAGCACCAGAATGGAGTGTGGGTCAGGCCAGGTCCGGTAGTAACACACACCAGTACACATTATGACTTGGACTGGGTGCCAGCTGGGGTGGACTAGGCTTTAGCCCTCACCAACCCAAGCTGGAATTGGGGGTGGGAAAGGGCAGGGCAGGGCAGGCCAGGCCAGAGCAACCATTGGCAAAAGCAGAGGTGAGGCAGGCCATGTCAAACTGGGACATGGCGCCCAACCAGCACACGCAAGACCCCGGGGAAAAGGGGTAAAGCTGGTGGGGGAAATGTGGAGGGCTCCCCTGCTGGAACACCACTCCCACTGGAAAGCATGAGTGGGGGTAGGGGTAGACCAGATAGGGCAGAGTTACAACACCTGTGGGCCTCATGTGAGCTATATCAGGGAAAAGCCAGGCTGGATTGATGGCTCCTACTGGTCCAAGCATAGATCAGAGTGGGTGAGGGTTGGCTGGGCTTTGCCACAGCATCAGCTGGCAGATACTGGCCCTGGAGGCAAATTCTGTCAAGCTAAACTGCAGAACCACCTGGAAAGTGCATGATGTGAGAGTGAGCTCAGGAAGGAAATAGTGGGCACTTCCCTCTTGAGTTACCACTCCCACTGGAGAGCATGAAAACCAGGACTGGGGAAGACATGGCTGGACAAAACAACACCCACCAGCATGTGTGTAGGCTGGATAGCAGGGCTGGTTGGGTTGAACTAGGCTTCAATGCCCATTGACATGTAGGAGAGCTGAATGGGATGTGGGACAGACTGGACCAGCCTGCCGTACATACTGGCAAGCATGAGAACCAGGGCAGTGGCAAGCCTGG